GGTCACATTTTATTTTAAGGTCCAATTCTCGCTATTAAATAAACTCAAACTGCTCTAATTTGCTGCTTATGAATAGCTAGTAAGGTAGTTGTTAAATTTAGGTATTGGGTAGGATTATGGATGTAGAATATGGTTATGCAGAACATGTGCTTTATAAGTACTAATAAAAAGCCAATATGTTATTAATAGGCATGCTAACAAGTAACTAGTTAATAGTGAGAACTGGTCCCTATACTAAAGTGTTACCAATTAGACCAACTATTAGGCCGTTCATATTCTTTCGATTTCTTTACCCAACGTTTTTAAAAAATGACAAAAGCAATGAAAATACAGGTATCAATAACTGGCATCTGCAAGTACCAAAAATGAAAGTATCAATATCGTAGTCATTACAGAAAAAGTTAAATTATAATTATTAGAATTTAAAACAGCTGTTTTCTATGTGAATATATCTGTTAAAATGTAATTTCTTGCTGTGATCAAAGCTGAATTTTCAGCATCATTACTCATGATCCTTCAGAAATCATTCTAATATGCCGATTTGCTACTTAAGAAACATTACTTCTTATCATCAAGGTCAAAAACAGTTGTGCTGCTTCATATTTAGGTGGAAAACAATACATTTTCAGTAATTTTAGATGAATTAAACATTCAAAAGGACAGCATTTGTTTGAAATAGAATCTTAATCGTAACATTCTAAATGTCCTCACTGTCACTTTTGATCGATTTAATGCCTCCTTGCTTAATAAATGTATTAATTAAAAAAAAATGAAATTAAATCTTACAGATCCCTAACCCTAAATGGTAGTTTATAAGTGAATATGGCTGTCCATCCCACACACTAACTGTGACTATCTGAGAGCGAGCTCTGACCTTGGGTGGCTTGAAGGGGTAGTCTGGAGTGAAAGCGATGTCCAGGAAGAACACTCCTCCCTCATACACTGAACCTGGAGGACCCAGGATAGTGGACCTCCACTCGTAGATGTTGTCTCCTTTAGGACCCGCACTGACAACAAAAACAGAGAGGATCATTTTTACTCAGAACAGACACCACAAAAGTCATTTACATCAGCAGAAGATACAATAAATACACACCGTGATAAGACTGAGGCTGTTTTCAGTAAAGCACTTACTGTAACACCTCCAACCAGTTAAGTGAAGTGAAGTGACATGTGGCCAAGTATGGTGACCCATACTCGGAATTAGTGCTCTGCATTTATCCCATCCAAAGTGCACACACACAGCAGTGAACACACACACCATGAACACACACCCGGATCAGTGGGCAGCCATTTTTTGCTGCGGCGCACGGGGAGCGTTGTACATTCACTCCCCCCACCTACAATCCCTGCCGGTATGAGACTCGAACCCGCAACCTTTGGGTTACGAGTCCGACTCTCTAACCATTAGGCCACAACTTCCCACATGTGGGAATGAAATGTGACTAAATGAAATGTGACTTAATGTGACTGAAATGGCTCAAAATCATCCACAGATCTGTATGACAGAGTGGAGAGTCAATGCAATATTTCTGAACGCTTCGGCTTGAACCACATACACAAACACACAGAGGAAGCAAGCTGCTGGATGACAAGAACTACACAGCAGACAATAGTCAGGTGAAAGCATTTGTGTCCTCAAATGACTGTTACTGCCCTCCATACTGTCAGACAAGCAGTGTTGGGGTAACGCAAGTTACATAATCAGATTACTTTTTTCAGGTAACTAGTAAAGTATTACTTCACAAGAAAATATCGGAGCTACTTTTTCAAATAAGTAATGCAAGTTACTTTGTTTTCCATGTATTGACTGACAGCTCTCCTGTCCACATCTTGAGAGAAATCATGAGTAAGTGCAGAGGCATTGGGTGCACTGTATGAACTAGGGATGCACAATATTGGATTTTTGCCGATATGCCGATATTTTTCAACTAATTTTGGCCGATGCCGATATATTTCCTTTTGTTTGGAAACAACACCAAGTCTCTCCTGTGCGGAAATAAGCAAACTATTTTTCAATTTGGTGAGTTTTTAACAAGAACTTATTTGTTAGAATTAAATAAACAATAACAAAGTTATTTTATAATGACAATACAATGAAGATTTGAAAATAAATAAACTAAATTCGATCGCTGCATTTTTTTCCCCAGAAAGATGCAGTTGTAACCTTAACATTTTATTTTAAGATTTAACATTTGTAAATGGTCTAAAGCAAAAGAGTTCATAATTTGTTTAAAAAATATACCATATTACACAATAATAAATCAAGTATATGTACAATTATTTAAAGTGTCGTGTTTTTTTTTTGTGTTGTTTTATGGAAGCTATAGCTTTAAATCAAAATATAGGCTACTCATGATTTTATGGTATCAATTACTGCTTTATTTAATCAGAAACAGTCTAAATATTATTTGTGTATATTGCTTTCATTGTATTAGAAGTAGGCCAACAGCGCCCCCTACAGATTAAAACTCCTTACCGTTACACTGTTGACTCTGTCGCACACCGAACGCGTGTCATTCTGTATGTGCTTTCACAGATTACATGAAGCGATCCAAAACCGTGAATCCGATCACCATTCAGGCAAAACATTGCTTCAAGAACGAGCCACACTGCTGACGTGATCTAATCACTAGCACACCCTGAGCACATGTGAGTTAACGTATTCCTCTTATGGGCATTCTTCATATTGGGCTGATGCCGATATTTATATTTAAAGCCATTATCGGCCGATTCCGATATCGGTCCGATAATATCGTGCATCCCTAGTGTGAACATGTTACTGTAGATCTAGACTAAATGTGATCATGCATTTACTCATCTCATGCGCACAAAGAGCATATTCAGTATTCGCCCCCTACTACTGTACAGATGTGAATTTGCATTTTCTTCAGCCTGGGGCTTATTCATTTCACTGTGAAAGGGCTTTTACACCTGCCAAAAATCTAACTTTTTTTATATTAATAGCAAACAAGCAAGCCCAGTTCAGATGAGAAAAAGTAGCGCAAACGTAACACATTACTTTCCATAAAAACTACGAAGGCAATTAGTTACTTTTAAGGGAGTAACCTAATATTGTAATGCATTACTTTTAAAGGTAACTTTCCCCAACACTGCAGACAAGAACATAAAATCTAGAAAAGTCCCGTGTAGTTGAAAATCATCAAGAACATTTTGAAATGTGGTAGCTAAAAAAATACTGACAAGTGTATACTGTGGATTTAACTGTGTCTACTTGATTCCCAAATGAACATGCAGAACATCAGTAAGACATCTACATCTCTCTTCTTCCCTACTGTTGCATAGATCCATGTAAAACGGCTTCCCAAACAAGAAGAAACATGTAGGCTAAGTCAGGACTCGATTTTGTCCATCAGGAATCTGAAGTGTATCAATATATTGATTTGGTGCATTAGGTCTTAAAGTGACAGCAGCCTAAAAAATAATTGTGAAATACCGCTGCTGATATCATAACCTTACTTCCAGTAAAATATACTTGCAGCCCTTCTTGAAAATGGCATTCATCCATTTTGGAGGAAGAATGCAGGTGGTTTCTGGTTCCCAACCCTACTGTTTTTTTTAGTATATGCACTTGTTTGCAGGAATAAAGTGATGCCCGCTTAATCAATGCCAGTAATTGGTCTGGTTTCAGACCAGAGCTGCTATATAACAGTGTGAATGTGCTTACAGTATCTCTTATAAAAGAGACACTCAAGCACAGAACAGAGGGAACCAAGCAATTTGCTTGAATATCAACACAGGTGCAAAACACAGTTGAAAGATGGTGGTATTTTTAAAGGTTAAATTACAGATCTGAAACTTCACATCAGGAACTTCATTCACTGCTTGTATGAAATTTGGCCAAACATACCTGCCCATCTGTGTTTTCAGAGCAGCGCAAATAATCTGACCTAAATATATGTCCTAAAAATAATCGGAGGCAAATTTAGGCTCAAGTTTTTTCCCCCATTCGGGTGAATGTACTTCGCAGTAAAGATTGACACAAGCCCTTCCTGTGTCAGCGTCTGAGCGTAACACCCATGAGATGAGTGCATCAAACTGGCCCGTGACATTTCCACCCGGATTCATGCTTCACGACAGAAGCATCTCAACAGCTGAAGACAAGCGCATACAGGAGGCTCTGTCTGAACACACGCAGTGTTTGGACGTGTCAGGGGTCCGTCACACTGCTGCTACTGTCATTCAGTTCAGTAACACAGGGGTCTTTTCTGCATAGATAAACAGCTCACAATGCACATTCGACACGGAGTCATTTCAGAGGAGCTGCAGCTATGATAAGACACTTCATTCTCTCCAAAACCGTGAATCCGATCACCATTCAGGCAAAACATTGCTTCAAGAACGAGCCACACTGCTGACGTGATCTAATCACTAGCACACCCTGAGCACATGTGAGTTAACGTATTCCTCTTATGGGCATTCTTCATATTGGGCTGATGCCGATATTTATATTTAAAGCCATTATCGGCCGATTCCGATATCGGTCCGATAATATCGTGCATCCCTAGTGTGAACATGTTACTGTAGATCTAGACTAAATGTGATCATGCATTTACTCATCTCATGCGCACAAAGAGCATATTCAGTATTCGCCCCCTACTACTGTACAGATGTGAATTTGCATTTTCTTCAGCCTGGGGCTTATTCATTTCACTGTGAAAGGGCTTTTACACCTGCCAAAAATCTAACTTTTTTTTATATTAATAGCAAACAAGCAAGCCCAGTTCAGATGAGAAAAAGTAGCGCAAACGTAACACATTACTTTCCATAAAAACTACGAAGGCAATTAGTTACTTTTAAGGGAGTAACCTAATATTGTAATGCATTACTTTTAAAGGTAACTTTCCCCAACACTGCAGACAAGAACATAAAATCTAGAAAAGTCCCGTGTAGTTGAAAATCATCAAGAACATTTTGAAATGTGGTAGCTAAAAAAATACTGACAAGTGTATACTGTGGATTTAACTGTGTCTACTTGATTCCCAAATGAACATGCAGAACATCAGTAAGACATCTACATCTCTCTTCTTCCCTACTGTTGCATAGATCCATGTAAAACGGCTTCCCAAACAAGAAGAAACATGTAGGCTAAGTCAGGACTCGATTTTGTCCATCAGGAATCTGAAGTGTATCAATATATTGATTTGGTGCATTAGGTCTTAAAGTGACAGCAGCCTAAAAAATAATTGTGAAATACCGCTGCTGATATCATAACCTTACTTCCAGTAAAATATACTTGCAGCCCTTCTTGAAAATGGCATTCATCCATTTTGGAGGAAGAATGCAGGTGGTTTCTGGTTCCCAACCCTACTGTTTTTTTTAGTATATGCACTTGTTTGCAGGAATAAAGTGATGCCCGCTTAATCAATGCCAGTAATTGGTCTGGTTTCAGACCAGAGCTGCTATATAACAGTGTGAATGTGCTTACAGTATCTCTTATAAAAGAGACACTCAAGCACAGAACAGAGGGAACCAAGCAATTTGCTTGAATATCAACACAGGTGCAAAACACAGTTGAAAGATGGTGGTATTTTTAAAGGTTAAATTACAGATCTGAAACTTCACATCAGGAACTTCATTCACTGCTTGTATGAAATTTGGCCAAACATACCTGCCCATCTGTGTTTTCAGAGCAGCGCAAATAATCTGACCTAAATATATGTCCTAAAAATAATCGGAGGCAAATTTAGGCTCAAGTTTTTTCCCCCATTCGGGTGAATGTACTTCGCAGTAAAGATTGACACAAGCCCTTCCTGTGTCAGCGTCTGAGCGTAACACCCATGAGATGAGTGCATCAAACTGGCCCGTGACATTTCCACCCGGATTCATGCTTCACGACAGAAGCATCTCAACAGCTGAAGACAAGCGCATACAGGAGGCTCTGTCTGAACACACGCAGTGTTTGGACGTGTCAGGGGTCCGTCACACTGCTGCTACTGTCATTCAGTTCAGTAACACAGGGGTCTTTTCTGCATAGATAAACAGC